AATCAGGAAAACTCGTTTTTCTTTTTCTTCTCTCCAACTCCGAAACAAGTCTATAATCAAAAGCTTAAACTGTAGAATGTTTGGAATATTTTCTTCAAAAATTTCTACTTTGTTTTTCCTCCTGGTTTGCTTTCATCTGACATCTGTACATTTTTTTCCTTAGTCTACTTCTTACTTCTCATCTTAGTCTTCTGTTTAACTACTGTCTTAAATTTTTATTCTTTAGAAATAGAATTTTATTCTGAATTTCTCTCTTATCTCCATTTGTCATTGTTAATACATATTTTCTTTGTAGACACTTTCTTAGCTCGAGGACTGAAATAGCATTTTTGATACTGTATTGTGATTTTCCAGACTTCAGTAGTACTAGCTAATACCGACTGTTTTCCAGAGTCGTTGCATTCTTAAAACTTTTAGTGAGTGTATTTCTGTCAAAACTGAGTAAATACATCTTATAAGTGTATTGACTCCTAGACCACTATTCAGGTTGTTAATTCAATCCAGCACATGTATTATTTGCTGTAAGATTGTAATCTTCTAAAAGCAGGAATGGACTTTTCAGTGGTTTACTATAGAAACAGTCTAAAAATGAGCTGCAGTTAACAGAAGCAAGTTTGGGCCGGAATTCAGAGGTTAGTGTTTATTTCTAATGAGTTTCCAGGGATGGCTCGTGGGCCTGTATTACATTTTTAGAGTAAAAAGCATCATAATGCCAAATTGAGTATTTACTTTCAATCTGTTATTGAAAGACTTTTCTCCCCTGATTTAAAATGTACATAACAAAATTTATCATTTTTATCGTTTTAAGTGTATTCAGTGGCTTTAATATAAGTATGTTCACATTATTTTGCAGTCATTACCACTATCCATCTCCAAAAGTTTTTCATCATCCCAAACTGAAACCCTGTACCCTTAGATAGTAAGCCTCCCATCTCCCTACCCTCAGCCCCTCGCAGCCACCGTTCTATTCTCTCTCTCTACGAAGCCGACTGTTCTAGATGCTCCATATAACTAGAGTCATACTTAAATGTATTTGTCCTTGTGTATCTGGTTTATTTCACTTAGCATGTCTTCAAGGTTCACCCGTGTTGTACACGTGTCGGTCAGAATTTTATTTCTTTTTAAGGCTGAGTAATACTATTGTATGTATATACAATACGTTTATCCATTCATCTGTCTGAGGACAGTTGGGTTGCTTCCACCTTTTGACTATTGTGAATAGTGCTGCTTTGAACATGGGTGTACGTATATCTGTTTGAGTCCCTGCTTTCATTTGAACAGTTACTTTTTAGTCATTTTATGCCAAACCCCTTAACTAGTGTTTCTTTGACAGTCAGCTTCCCTCAGAAACAAATCAGTTACATCCTTATTTTCCCATGAGAAAGTAAGACAGAAAGAAGGGAAGTGTCCGACAGTTCCCATTTCTGTTAATGGTAGCATTAAGATAGGCTCCAGCCTTTCAGTGACTAGGAGACTGTGGTTGTGGTTTTTTTGTTGTTGTTTGTGTATCCATTATCCATTTGAGATATAATAACGTAGCTCGTCATTTTTCCTTAAAGTATTTGCCTTATTTGTCTAGCATGTTTGGTGCTTTGCAGTTTTAAAAGTTTGAGTGAAAACCATAGCAGCATATATAATAAAATGAAACACTTTTGTCTGTGTTTTTATTATGGAAATTTATCCTACATACTTCTGTTTAGTAGTTACTTAAGGCTTACATTTTAGAGAGTTAGCATATATATCAATGATTTTCAACCTTTTTTGTTTTAGGGCCACTTTATATTCTCAAAAATGATTGAAGACTTCCAAAGAGCTATTGTTTATGTGAGTGTTAGCTATTGATATCTACCATGTTAGAAATTAAAACTGAGACTTTAAAAAATTACTAATTTATTTAAAAATAATAGACCTACTAAATATTATAAACTTTTTTTAATGAAAAATAACTATTTTCTAACTGAAAACTTTATCAAGAAGAATGTCATTATTTTACATTTAGGCAAAATATCTTTAATATCTGACTTTACGAAAAATAACTGAATTCTCATGTCTGCTTCTGCATCCAGTCTGTTGAAATACACTGTTTTTGTTGAAATGTATGAAGAAAATCTGACCTCACACAGCTGTGTAGTTGGAAGAGGAGTATTTTAATAGTCTTTTCAGATAGTCATGTATATCTTTCTTTGATACCATACCAAAACCCAAGAAGTGGTAGTTTCTTAAAGGTTAGTAGCAGTGTGTGGAATTTTAAATGTATGAGTGAATTTTTCATACTTGGTTATATTAAAATCATTTGTCTTTCTTGTACATTGAATGGCTCTGTCAAGTATAATTTGTATCATCATATGTTAGTCACTTGAAAAATAATTGGTTCGACAAATTATGTGAATCTTCCAAATATTGACATACTGTGAAATATGAAATAGAATATTAATAATTCACATGTATTAATATCCCTTTCAGTCACATGCAGAATGTCTTTAACCCTTGGGGGCTATCAGGCTTGTAGTGATAGGTGCTGGCTTTCCCACAGTTCTGATTTTAACTTGAAAGCTCTACTTTTATTATCAGCAACAAATACCATCGGTTGTTTTCTTTAAAGTGACAGCTCACTTTGCTCATGTTCGAGAAACTGTCTGCCAAAGACCCAAGGCTGAATGACCATAATTTGTCATTCATTCTTTCCAGTAAATATGGCATTTCATGAAAAAAAAAGCAATTTTCTCAGCCTGCAACTTAAACTATAACACAATACTTTTTCTTAGGATTACTGTAGTGCAGTGGTCAGCAGAAATGCTGCATGTGTACTTACTGTTTGAAACACAGAATGTTAAACAGCCATGTACTCAAGGGATGAGATTTAATGAAATTAATAATTTTTACTGTGGCATAAAGAACACTTCTTTTATTACTTTTTTATTGAAGTATAGTTGATTTACAACACTATATCAGTTTCTTTTGGATATCTTCTTTAAGTTTGTTTTTGGCATCTTGGTCTGTAAGCAGTCAAGTAGCAGAGAGATACCGTCCCAAAGAGAAGCGTCTGTAGGAATCAAGTGTTGAGTCCAACTAAGAACATTCTTAAGTGAAGTTAGCATTTAAAAAAAAATCTGTTGAGTACTGGTACGGGCTGGTGCCAGGGCCTTGATTCATGTCACAGAGCTGGCAGTTTGACCCACTGTTGCTTTTGCACCATTGATACAATTGTCAACACAGTGAAGAAGGGAAATAATGCCTTAGAATTGTGTTGAAAATAATTTTGATGTTTTGGATCCCTCTGGGAGGGTGTCAGGGAACTGTTTCCATTGTCATGGTTAGTGTGGATGCTTTCGTAATTGTGGATTATGCTCTTAAATAGTTTAAACCCTGTGTATATATTGGTGGGTCGTGAGAGGTTGCTTCTGTATTTCCCCTCTGTGGCACTGTCCCCAAGCCAGGGTAGAGACTAAAGTAGTATTAGTGGCATTAGAATTTTAGGAGGAAGAGCATAGCATTAATTTGAATTTTATAGCATTTGTTTTTACTTTTTTCCCTTTTTTCCCAGGTGCAAGTGCTTCCTGAGAGAATTTGTTTTGATTTTAGACACATTTGAAGTATATATACTGTGACTTGTTTGAATTGGGATCTCAGGGAAATTATGCGTAACTGCTGCCTTGCCCCGCCTGCCTCCTCCCTACAAACTTTTATTGGGTTTTTAATCGTTTGTGCTAAACTCTGTGCCAGGGATAAGAATAACAGGCCCCCGGCCTAGAGGAGCGCAGAGAAGAGTGTTAGGATGCAGTGTGATGAACACTGGTACCCGGGTTAGTACAGGGTCTCTGGGCAGCTTCACAGGAGGGGTGCTGCTGTAGGTGGGTTTTAAAGGAAGTGTTGGGTCTGGCCTGGTAAAGGAGCAGCAGGTGTGGAGATGTGTGAAGGAGAGGGAGAACACGGTATTTGGGGACAGGGAGTGGCCAGATGGTGACGGTGGCAACACAGGCTGGATGTGGAGGCTGTGTCACAAGAGGACAAATTGAAGTCAGATTGTGAAGGGTCTTGCTGGGACTTGATCTCATAGGCAGTGGTTCTCAAAGCTGGTCCCAGACTAGCAGCGTTGGCATCTCTTGGGAACTGGATAGAAATGCAGATTCCTGGGCCCAGCCCTAGACTTTCAGTGTCAGGTATTTGGGGGCGGGGCTCGGCTGTCTGTTTCAGGCAGCTCTCTAGGGGACTGCCTGGGTAGGATGAGAACAGTCCAGGTTCTTCAAGCAGCCTTGCATTTTAGAAATGTCATTTTGAGGGTCCTCTGGAAGGTGGGATGGTGTCGGGAAGTTAGGGATCAAGTCACCCAGTGTTTTTGTGGATGTGATGTGGGCCTGGACTGAAGACAGTAGGAAGGAAGAGAGCAGAGATTCTCTATCCTCTTTATTGCCAATAGACTTAAAGGCCGAGAAGATAGCTGTGCCCTGCTCTGTGACCTGCCAGCAGCCTGGGATGGAGAGCTTTAAAATCCTTGCTGCTTTGTGTCTTCAGGGGGTATCTTTTACCGATAGTAAAAACATCAATTCAAATAACTTGCTTGAGCCTCTTCCGTCTCCTTTCTGAGGATGCCTGCTTAACTTAGGATGATCACATCTGGAGGGTAAAGGAGCACCTTCAGGGCTCACAGTCTTAGAAAGGACAACATGGTGTTATTTCATTCAGTGTGCCAAGCTGCCGGCAGACTTACTGAGTGGTGCGTGGCATTCAGCCCCTTATGTTGCACGTTGTCTGTAAGTTGGCGAGGAGTACCCTTCTACTATTTAAATTTTACCAATCAGTGGCTCCATTTGATGTATTTAAGTCCAGGTGGGTCTCTGATTTCAATTATTAGGTTCGTATGTTTATGAATAAAGGTGTATTAGAACCTTTATTCTTCAATATTTTAAAGTTTTTTTCTTTATATCCTGTTTTGTTTTACAGATTTGTAAGACTCCAGGGCCTTCAAGCTGTGATTAATCCCATGGTTCCTGAAATGACTGGGAAAACAGACATTTTGTGCACCAATTGAAGAGTGTATGTCTATGTATGTTTAAAACCTTTCTATACGTACACATTTACACGAGAAGACAGACTCATTCTTGTGCATACTTGAAGAGTTTTACAACTGATGAAAATTCATTTAAGAATCAGATGGAGCAACTTGACACCACTGGGCTTGGGAGCCCGGGGAGAGAAATACATCATTGATGGCCAGTTTTCCATATGGTCTTCACGGGTAAAGAAAGTTTGCAAAAAGAAGAAAAAAAACTTGCACAGATCAAGCCTCAAAAATACCTCTTCAGTGTAGAGAAGGAATTAAGTGAGGAGGAAACTGAGGGAGACGTGTGATTTCAAGCATCACAGGTGGGAGCGTGCAGTGTTTTTTGCACTTTATTTTTCAGTGGGTTTGGTGATCTGGACAGATGTTCAAATTCTGGACTGAAAAGTAACTCCTACTGTGTGGTTATGACTGGAGGAAAGCAAGTTAGGGTATGATGAGACAGATTTGAAAAATGAACTAATTCCTTTGCCTTTTTTGGTTTTTGAGAAATTTTAATTTATTATTTCCCCTTTCCTTTCCCGTATCTATAGGATAATAACTTAAGGTAGCAATTGAAACTGATAATTGCAAAATAATTGTCAAGGAGCATCCGAGTAAAGCTTCTTTCCTTGGACTGTACACATGACGTTTGGAGACAGTCTCTGAGGTTAACAGGAAAGCGCCCATCAGCCAAACGTGCTCAGCCTTTAGGGAGAAACTGGGGAAGAGCCCATCTCTCGCCCACGTTTTTGCTTTAAGGGATTCTCTTCCCTGTTGAGTCCAAGAAGATTTGCATGTAAGAGGAGGATTACTTGATGGACTTAATTCTGAGATTAGTTCTTGTTCTTCAAGATGGAAAAGTTTGTAATCTTTAGAAGCAGAAAGGGGAGAAGTGACTAGGGAAGGGCGGAAGGAGGCGACATTCTGCAGCTCAGCTTGGCTCCTGCGTGTCGGCAAGAAGATTTAGGATTCCCTGGAGGCAGACACTCAGACTCCTGCAAGAGCTTTAGAACCTTGTGACTCTGCTGAGGGAAGGGGCTTTCTCCCTGGCCTCTATGGCACTGCGGGGTGGGTCAGCCTGCAGAGAGGGCCTCCCTGGGGACACAGCCACCTGCTGGGGAGCCAGGCTGGGTTCTGAAGTTGGAGGTTTCTGGTTCTGAACAGCAGGGAAAGAGTCTTTTTTTCTGCCAAAATTTGGACTGCTGTCTGCACAAACTCTGGTCTGTTTTGCACAGTTTGTGTGCCTTTTTTCCCCTTTATGCAATCTTTTTCAGCTTTAGCAGCAGAAATTTGTCTAGTTGAGAAAACAAGCCAGAGGGTGGCTTCAGAAGGAAGGTGATTCCCTGTGTTCTGTCTCTGCATCTGAACTTTTGAAGAGAAAATTCCAGCTCGAGGGATTCTTAAAGCCTTAAGTTACTTGAAATCTATGTATTTGCAACCCTTTTGTCTCTGGAATCACATTTCACTAAACTGGAATCTCAGGCTGAATGCGAATAACCAAGTTGAGTAAAAAGAAGAACACTCAGTTTCTTTATCACCACTTGTTAACAATGCTCTTTCTCCAAAGGGTCAGCCCGCTCTTCCTCTGAGGACTTGAAAATAAAAATGGACCCCACTTTTTTTTAAGTATTGTCTTTTCTTAGCCGACTGCCATCATCTTTTATAGAGGAATTTTTTCACTATGCATTTGGTGGATCTTTATAAAATACTGACCTTCCAAATAGAACCAGGTCAGTCTTATTAAAGGGGGTCAGGGAAACCAACACAAGCCAACCACAGAAATAAAACAAACAAATCAATGAAAGGAATTGGTTTACATTTTTCGGCCTTCAGCGTTACTTTTTAAGTCAAACGGTTCTTCAAAAAAAAGTATGTATGCAGCGGTGGAACATGGGCCTGTCCTCTGCAGCGACTCCAACATCCTCTGCCTGTCCTGGAAGGGGCGTGTCCCCAAGAGTGAGAAGGAGAAGCCGGTGTGCAGGCGGCGCTACTACGAGGAGGGCTGGCTGGCCACGGGCAACGGGCGGGGCGTCGTGGGGGTGACTTTCACCGCCAGCCACTGCCGCCGGGACAGGAACACTCCGCAGAGAATAAACTTCAACCTGCGCGGCCACAATAGCGAGGTGAGCTGGGGTCCTGTTTCACTTTTTGTCTGCTCATTTTTGACCCCCTCTTCCCCCACATGGACTCAGAACTTACTTTGCTTCAGTTTCTCAGATTTGCTGCCCAGTGAACTCTGTCTCCTGTGTTCCAGCGGGAGACTCAGTTCCTGGTGGCCTGTGTCCCTCTCCGAGTGTGTCCTCCCAATGGCCTGTGTCCCCCTCCAAGTGTGTCAACTCTCCAGCATCCCTCGTGCTCCTTTCCCAGCGCTGGGTGGCAGGGACACCTGGGCTGCTTTTTGACCAGGTGTGAGGTTAAATGAGACGATCCTAACCTCCCCGTCCTGCCTCTGAGCCTTTATGGTCGCCCCACCTCAGTGGCAGAGATGCTGCCCCAGTGTCGGGCGGGCAGAGTGAATCATGAAAGGGGTGCCGTTCCTGCCGCGCACGGTTCACGTGTGTATGCTCGGTGATGGTTTAATACCTAGCTTGTATTTCTTGTACTTGGAGGTAAACCAAGGAATTAATTGGGCATAGGTGAAAGAAGTAATTAATTGAACAAGTGCCATGGTTTTTCACATCTATTGGGTATATTATATTGAGGATATTATGCTATGTATACATGCATATAGATTCCTCTGGGCTTCTGAAACATAAACATGGTTGTTATCTTTGAAATTCATTCAACCCAGATATATAGTGAGCAGTGTGTTTAAAAGAAGAGGTGTGCCTGGATAGCTTGTTAATGGTGTTCATGCTTCACTGTTCACTTATTTCTTTTGAGAAGTCCACCTTAAACTGTCATAGGATGGTTTTTTAATAGTTGTTGTGAAGGAGAAGAGTGTTTCTGAAGGGTGGCATATGCTAAAGTGCATTCACCTTAAGCCTGCGTCTCAGTGATCACTACATACACAGCCACTCACGTAAGTAACCACCAAGCAGGTGAGAATGTGGAGCATTTCCAGAACCCCTCACAGGTATCTGCTACCCCTGACCCCCGGCCCTGCACCTCACTGAGAGGTGGCCCAGACTCTGGCGTCTGTCTGTCACCACAGATGAGTTGTGCCTGTGCTTGAACTTTATGCAAGTGGAATTGCTCGTTTTATCCTCTGTCTGTCTGGCTTCTTTCACTCAGAGTTGTTATCTGTGAGATTTCTCCCTGTTGTATGTGCTGCTAGTTTGCTCCTTTTAATTGATGCTCGGTTTCCACTGAAGCAGGACACCGCGGTTTTCCCACTCTTCTGTTGGTGGGCTGTTGGGTTGTTTCCAGTTTCTGCTGTTTTGGTGACACCTGCTCTGGACACCCATGTGCATGTCTTCTCGTGGGTCTGCGCACTCAGGACGGGGCGTCCAGTTGTAGAGCTGGCATGCGTGTAGGTTTGGTAGGAATTGTCAGACAGTTTTCCAAAGTGATTTTTTTGTGCCATTTTATACCCCTGCCATCAATGTATGAAAAGTTCAGTTGGGTAAGAAACTTCTTTTGGATTTGAAGTTTTCATATAAAAAAAAATAGTTCTATGCTAGGAATTAACGGTTTATAAATACTTCCATCCTGAATACACACACACACACACACACACACATCAATATGTATCTGTAATTTTGAACTGGATGCTCTGTTTTTAAATTTTTTTATTGAAGTATGGTTGATTTACAATGTTGTGTTAGTTTCAGGTGTACAGCAAAGTGATTATACATATCATATATGTATTTATATATATTCTTTTTCAGATTCTTTTCCATTATAGGTTATTATAAGATATTGAATATAGTTCCCTGTGTGGATGCTCTCTTAAGAGACATATTTTTCTAAGCTGAGTAATAAATTACCATGGACTTAGTGGTTCACAGCACCCATTTATCTCACAGTTCTATAGATCTGAAGTCCTGGCTTGGTGTAACTGGGTCCTCTGTGTGGGGTCTCACAAGGCTGGGAAGCATGGTGCCAGCAGGGACTGTGCGCTCATCTTAGGCTTGGGGTATTCCTGCAGACTTGTTCAGATTGTTGGCAGAAATCAATTCCTTGCAGCTGTAGGACTGAGGCCCTCAGCTCCTAGAGGCTGCCTGCTGTACCCTGCCATGTGGCCGTCTCCACAACATGGCAGTTTGAAGGCCTGGCTTCTTAAAGGCCAGCAGGAGGGCATCTGCTGTAACTTTGAATCTCTGTGACTTTCCATCTCTGAAAAAGGCCAGACCTGCCCACACTCCACGGGAGGGGACCACATCAGGGGGTGCTGTTACAGAATTCTGCCTACCACAGAAGGGGCGATTATAATTCCCAGTGGCATGGATGTTTCACTGTTTAAACTATTTCATGTGAGTTTTCCATTTTGTATTTTTTTTACCTTTAATTTCTATTCTTAATATTAGAATAGTTCTTATTTACTGAGCCCCTGCCAAGTAGGGTGACCAGCCATCCTGGTTTCCCAGCCTGTGGGACTGTCAGTGCCAAAACTGGAAGGCTCCCAGACAGACTGGGGTGGTTAGTCATCCTACTGCCAAGTGCCAGGCATCATGCCAGTTACCTTTCAACCTTCCCATCTAATTGTCTCATGTGGTTTTCATAGCAGACTAAGGGGTGAATATCATTATTTCCATTTTACAGGTCAGAAAGCTAAGGCTTATGGACATTAAACAGCTTGCCTAGGTTCCTACAGCTTGTATGGAGGACGACTGGAATTTGAACCCAGGGCTCTGCCATTCTCCTTCAGTGTATCTTTATTTTCTTGAAACTTGTGTTATGTGTAAGTCCTCTGTCCCTTCCTTGTCCACAGTTGTGAAATCTAAGGGCTCTGAACATGGAAAGTTTTTGCATAACTAATTTAATGGCAAGACCTGAACTGATGTGAGGCTATTTATTGTCATCATCCTGTCACTTTAGCTGCAGAAATCTATGTGTTTGATTGTGGTTCCTGCCCAGACTCTGCTGTTTTCAGAACTAAAATTTCAAAAATTCTGAATTTCAGAACTTACCTTGTCCCAAGGATTTTGAATAAATGATTATGAACCCATATCTTCCTTGAAGGGAATTGTGAAAAGCAATCTCTGAAGAGTTTTATCTTTTTTCATTTCCAGGAAGAATGGCATTTAACTCAGCCCTGTCCGTTGCTTTAGTTACCTTATCTTCACTGCCCTTCCACCACAAGGAACGAAATCCCCTTGCCTCGACCCTGACACACGCTGAAAACTCTAGGCAAGAATTGTTGCAAGATTCTGGCTCTATTTCTGGCCTTGGGACACCCAAACTGCAGATGTCAGATCTAGTAGTCTGCAGATTTCACAGCTGAAAAACTTGGGAATTTTTTTTTTCTAGAAAACAGTTTCTTACAGATGTTACTCATGTCATGCAGGTTAGTCGCGGTGAGCACTGGTTCTTCGTTTAGCAAGACTTTCTTCACTCAAGAGCAGACGGGCCCTTATTTGTGTTTGATGGGATTAGTTTCATTACAGGGACACATCGCTATAGGGCTGGTCTCACCTGGAGTTTTGGATCTGGTTACTCCTTCTCCTGCTGATCCCTGACCACCACACTCCCCACTCCCCACCACGGGCCTGCCCCTGCTGTAAACTGGGCAGACGTCTGCTTACATGGTGATGCTTTACTGTAGTTATCTACTTGTGCGGGCTGGTAAAACTTGCCTGAAGATTGTCTATTCTTGTGGTCTTAATTTCCTTACCTCCTGCTATTTAAAATGCCATTTGTTTATTTAAATTTCCTTTAAACTTGTTAGCTCACTTCAGTGGGGCTCCTTTCCCCACCACTCTGCTGAAATGGTCACGTTGCCAGTGACCTCACATTGCTAAACCTGGAGGTCACTTTCTGGCATTTGGTGTCTTGGTAGCATTAGTGGCGTTGAAATGTTATTTTCTCTTGCTTTCCATGACACCACGCTCTCCTGGTTTTCCCCTTAACCTTTCTGGCCTCTACTTTGCAGCCTTCTTTGCTGGCTCTGCCGATCTTCACCTCATCTTTAAATGTTGGGGAGGCCCCAGGCATGTATCCCTTACTAGATGGTCTCTCCAAGCTGGCTGTAAATCCACCTGGGGGCTGATGACGCCCAAATTTAGATCTTCCACCTGACATCTCCTTCTAGTTCCAGACTCCATTCCTCGACTTGATGTATGAGGCACAAAATTGGACATCAATCACCAGGCTTCTCAAGCTGTAGGTCATCTAAGAGAGCACTTGTTTTCCAACTGCCCCTTCAGCCACCAAACCTGTTTCACTGTCTTCTCCGTCTCAGTAGATGGCCCCACAACCAGCCAGTGAGTCATGCTTACAGTGCAGAAATCCCCCTGCCCTTTCCTTGTTCCCAAATCCAGGTGTTGGCAGGGCCTCCCACTGTCTTCTGAAACGTGCCTTCTCTCCGTCACCACCATGCTGTACAAGCCTCCTCACAGATCTTTTGACTTAAGAAAAGACACTGTAAACCTCTTAGAAGAAAGCATAGGCAGCATGTTATCTGACATAAATCTTAGCAGTGTTCTCCTAGGACAGTCTACCCAGGCAGTAGAAATAAAAGCAAAAATAAACAAATGGGACTTAATTAAACTTACAAGCTTTCGCACAGCAAAGGAAACTAAGTAAAACAAAGAGACAACCTACGGAATGGGAGAAAATATTTGCAAAAGATGAGACTGACAAGGGCTTAATTTCCAGGATATATAAATAGCTCATACAACTTAATAATAAAAAAACAAACAACCCAATCCAAAAAATGGGCAGAATAAGCTAAGGGTGTGTGTGGGTGCGTGTGCTGGGGGAGTGGTCGTGGTGGTAGGAGGGGCAGGAGGAGGGGTGCTTGCCTTGTGCTGAGTACTGTTCTAAAATCTTTAACTCGTTCACTCCTGGCATCCAGTGTGGGACTTCGAACCTATTCTATCATCATCTTATAGATGAGGTGCAGAGACATTAAGGAGGTTTCTTAAGATAACATCTGTGTTAACTGACAGAGCTGAGACAGAGTCAGGAACGTCTCAGACTCCACACTCTCAACCTCTCGGAAAATCACCCCAGTTTTCCG